AGATTTTATGTAAGTATTATTATTTTATATAATAACTAGCGATTCGCCTTGGCTTTGTCCGAGATGCATTTTTTCGCCAAACCCTCATCATCACAAAAGAACGAAGTGTTTGTTATTTTATTTCTTTAAAAGAATAAATTTACAAAGCACGTACTCCTGCTAGCTAGGCTATGTAATTCCGTATTGTAATTTTAGAGAAAAAAAATTTATGCACACTACATTATGTATAATCCATTTTCATCCTTCTAAGAATGGAATTTAAAAAAATTCTCCATTGGTATAAAATAATAAAAGATAAGAAGTTTCAATTTGACACTGTCTGTCAGGCAATAAATCAGTAGCTTACTAATTTATAAGTATAGATTATACGGGATAATTACGGGATTTTGACTGAAAGGTGGCATGGAAAGTTTATACTGCCCACTTGCTATATTAATGTCTACAGGTATAATTCACGCATAATAATATGATTACACTTGTACGTTAATTTAGACTCGCCTAGGAAATGGCTGTTTGTATTGATCTAGCATAATACCTGCCATTTATCTTGCACTTTTTCGAATTCAAGTCCTTAGACCGACCGATGCATGCTAAAGGTAAAAAAATTAAATAACAAAAACTCGTAACTACATGATTAAGGTGAAATATAAAATGTAGAGTTAAAAATATGCATTTTCCCAGCACAAAATATTTTTACATTTAATATAAAAGAAAGGTATGGTTCACTATTAAAATTCATAGAATTATTTTAGTTTGGCTTTTACACTATATTTGGTGTTATATTAGCGAATTAAGTATAGTATAGAAGGACATTCGGTAAGTGTTTTATCGATGTTCCAGATAAAATCTGCCATAACTCGGCTAATATACTATACATATTATATTTATATTGACGACACGTTTGGCTCAGTTTGTAGTGACCCTTACGTACTACGTGCTGTGTCAGCGATCGCGGGTTCGAGTCCAGCTGGGGGCATTCATTTGTGTGATGAACATGAATGTGTGTACTCTAGTCATGGGTGTTTATATTTATAATATGTATATATTTAAAAGTTTATATGTGTAGTATATCAACTATCTGGTATCCATAACACAAGCCTCGTAGCTTACCATGCAACTACATAGATGGTGCTGTGTGTTAATGTCCCAATATATCTATTTATTTATTTATATTAATTACCTTTCTCGGCACCATTTGTACAAATATAATAACATTATAATTCATTTAAACAAAGAAATTACTTGGCTTTTAATAACGTTCTTTTAGTTTAAATCAAAATATTAGCTGTTCTAAAATAATATAACAATCATCAACGACGCTCTAATTTACGCTTTGAAAATAAGCAATAAATATGTTCAAAGTAAATAATGCTGTATGCGATTTGACGTTGTTTATCTCTACAGTCAATCTAATTCATACTTGAGACATAATATGCACAATACGTGGTCCAATCGCAGCACTTCAGTCAAGTCTCAAGATAATAAGCTTGCTAGAACAGATTACACATGTCGAGCTTAAGTTATATTAAATGGTGTTCGATTGTGATTGCTAAACACTTAGGCCAAAAGCTGCTTCATAGTTCGATTAAGCGTCGACTAGATAAATGTTTCGAAAAGTAAAATAACTTTGTTTATTGTGAAATTTTACAGTTAGTAATTATGTTGTTTCTTACTTCAGTAATCGTAGACAAAAATATACCAGTAGTATGATACCGTATAAAAAGTCCTGTGGGTTGTTTTGGGAGAGAATGTTCGCTGAATTCGATATTTATTAAATAACTAAAGATAGGCAAATAGTAAATTCAAGAATTTCTAAGAAAATTCTATTGGATATTTTATAAAAGTATAAGTAATATGTTATTATCATCTACGTAATACGTAGATGTAATAGATATCAACAGAATTTGTATACCTATAGAGATTTATGGATATTTATTCGGTCGGACATTCTTTAGTCTCCTTTATATTTTATCTCCGTTATATTATATGAAAATTATATTTGTATGTATTGTATAGTTTTATGTATCAATTCATTTTGGAATTATTGCGTATTTAGCGTAAAATGAAATTCAGCGTTTTATCGAAAAGTCTGCGTGATTAATAATATTATACACAACAGCCAAATAAATTTTGCGAATAAAGAAATTTGTAACTGATACAATTATGTTGTTTGGAATATATTCGCGTATATGGCAATATAAAACCTAGAATTTAATATCAGAGCCCACGAAATATAATATTAAATAATAACCACACAAATATAATACCTAAGCGTAAGAGTGTTACGTATCCAATATCACACCTATTCGAGGCATGAGTTTGAACAAGTTTTAATCAAAATTCATCATTGTACGCATTTCGTATTTGGTTGGCAGTGTATCCGATTACGTATTCCAATTATTCAGTATTTCACGCCCATCGACGCCTATAATTACATTCTGATAGAATTGCATTAAATCCGCCACGCATTCGTTTACTAATTTCCATACAATTTATCCAATGATTAGCCTTAATTCGATGCGGTTTTTAATGCGTCTATCAATTACCGTCGCAAAATGTTTGCGTGTTAAAACAGTTTCAATTTTGGTGCGATAATGAAACAATGCGGCATCTACGCGCTCGCTACAGAGATGAGTGGGGAGCCTAGAACAATTAAAAGAAAAGGTTATATATAGTGTTTTCAATTAAACTTGGAATCCGCTAAGCCAACGTTTGTGCAGGTTTCTAACGCCAAGCGTGCCGTGTACGTGCGAGAATCTGCGGTATTACTCTGGACTGCAATGGTCCGTCCGTGAAGACAGTCATTAAAGTGTAACAATTTGCTCGATCATGTAAAGCGATTAAGTTTTGTTTGTACGTCTCGCTTGAAATGTAGAGCTGATGACTAGACACAAATTTCTGTAAATTTAATTATTAAATCATAAAAATAATACGTTTTAATTAATCTTACATATGTATTAGGGTAGATGCAGTATTAAACATTTAGATATCATAGTTATTAGTGCCAAATTAATAAGCGTCGACATTAATTTATACAGCGTTCGGAAGAGAAAATTAATGTTTCCAAAGAGGCGTATAGACGCACCGGACGGAATATTAAGCTTTTCATCGGACCAGCTATTAGTAAGAAACACGTTTAGTTACACTGAGTTAGTATTTCAAAGCTGGCAGCAAAGTGAAAATAATGGACAATTTTCAGTTTTACATTTACTTATCTGTTGGTCAAACTAACTATCCTGTTTATATTGTAAACTATGTACATATTATATAATCTACAATTAGATTAGGTAGTCACACAATCGTTAATACATTGTAGTTTACTAAACCTACATTTGAATACCTTAATTGGCCAACTAGCCAACTCCACGTTTCGTCAAAAAATATTTATGACGTAATGATTACGGTCCTTGTGGATATACCTTTCAAGACACCGGCTGCTATCCCATAGGGGTAAAACCTCTTCAATTACAGGTTCGATTCCGTGCATTGCAAATGCGTGTAGGGATTATTTATTTATTATTTATGTGGATGCCTGTTCCATTGCGATTAAATTAACACGGCACGGTATTGAACAAAGTTTGCCCACATTTATTTATACAATTAAATTTGTTTAAAATCATATATGATTTTAAACAAGTTAAACTAGATAATAAAGATTAATTATTAGATCGAACTTAAACGTTTTATTTACGTTACAAAATACAAATAAATTTGAATAAAAGTTTATTATTATTAAACCGTCGGTATTATATTAAAAATATATAATTCGAAAACATAACTGTAAAGGAATTCTAAACCAAATATATTTTAGAAGAAAAGATAGCTGTCTGCTCCAATATTGCAAGTCATGCATTTGCAAGGAGCAGCGAGATTTCGGCACTATAACGTAAACCGTCAAAATCCTGAGAGCTTTCCTGAAGACGGTTTTAGTTCGAACCAATGATCTGTATTTTTATGTATCTTAGCGCATTGTTAGTGAAATTGATGAAATTGAAAAATACTTTTGTCGATTCACATTTTCAATTTAAAGTTGGCAATTATTTAATTCTTCTTCGTCTGATTTATTTTCACTTAATGAGATTGTTACAAGGTCAAAGTACGTTGGAAATATTTCAAATTTTTATATAGCGTAGTATTTTAAATCTGTTTATGTTAAATCAATTTTATATCTGTCTATTTAATAATGCATCACTCGAGAACAGCTTGACAAATTTTAACAAAACTTGATTGATCAGGTTAATTTGAATTAAAAAGATATATAGATAAGTTTCATATAAAATTTACAAAGTTATATGTTTTTTATATGTTCACTCTCATTCTGCCCATTTCACACCTTTCGGCAAAGGCTTTCCTACACTCGACCACTACAACCTTAATTTTAAATGAATTTTACTTTGTATGTTTCTTATTAAAAGTTATTTTATAATTGAAGATATTCGTTACTTTACTTCACATCTCTACACAAAGTGAATACGAAAAATGCAAGTGGTTACGGTCTCTAAATACTAAATAGGTACCCGCTGATAGTACCTAATAGTTTTACATTAAAGCATATTAAATAAAAAATATGTTTTTTTTTTTCATTACAATAATATTTTAAATATAATTTAAGCAAAACACAATTTCAATTATTATTAAAAGTCTAATTTCCTCCTAAACAATGTTATCCTAATCGATTTTGGCAATAACGATAGCTTGTACAAGGCAGTTTAAGTAGGTATAAAAAATAATGAAATTAAAATTATCTTCTTTAATAGGGTATATTAGTCATCTAAATTGAATTTGATAAAGGTTTCAAACATTTATTATTTATATTAAAGAACAAAAATTCAAATAGTATTTTGTGAGTTAAAAGCGTAGAACCAAACATCACAAACTATTCTCACTTTGCAAAATATATATGATATTCTAAATGTTAGGTTAAACATTTTATTTAAAAGCTCAGTATTTTTTGCTAAGTCAGAGCATAAAATATTTCTATTCACGGTAACCCGACTCACCTGCAACGATAGTTAGGAGCGCGAACGTCGAAACCAACGGTAGTCCCCCGGTTTCCATGGCAACTCTCCGCCGCCGTGCTTCCGTAGACATAATGTCAATAGACATTTGATATTCCAAATCCAGCTTGAACTCAGATTTTTTTCATCATTTCAATATTTTTCTTAAATTGAAATAATATTGTCTTCTTTCCACCTTACATAGTGTACTTTCTTAGAATATAACGAAAAGAAGTTTATTATTGTCATATCATCGCGATCCCTCCTCTTTGTTACATCTGAAACAATAAAACGAACTTTTTGTTACGAAGCAATCTCCAGTGCACTTTTGCAAGCCAAATACTCGCTTTTCATTTTACAACTATTGTTAGAACAATGATTTCATTCGCTTCGAAGTTTTCTTTACTACAAAAAATCCATTTAGGTATCTTTAATTCGTCTAAGTTAATAATAGAGTTATTGAACCACTAAACTAAAATTAATTACAGATTAATGCTGAATGTTCAATGCTCTCTGTTCTGTGGCTTATAGGTGTGCCATTTGGGCACAATTACAGATTAAACACAAAAAGACTCGAATTTATTTGATACTGTTAAGTACCTAATACAATAATATTATACCTACTATAATAATTAAAATGTAACAATTGCCTCTTTTGACTTTAAAATAATTGATAAAGCTTAAAAAAATTAATAGACTATATCTCCAAACAGGTCCGGTTCCGGTAGTGAGAACGTAAACACGCATAATAGTCAGCTCTGTCGAAAAAATTCACAAACACTACAAAAAACAGTCAGTTAACTATAAAACTGCGATAATATCTCAAGAAAATCATCATAGCTTCATAACTACGAAGAAATCTTAGTGGAAACTGGAAAGGAGTGCAATTAGTGAAAACAGTAACGTTCTAGTAAATACCTACGTATACCCCCAAACTACAAAGTGCTCGTCGATCTAATAAATTACAAACGCCATCATAGATTATAGAACGTACTTCTGTCATTAGTGATTGTAGTGCCAACCTTACAATAACGAATAATCTCGTACTTTGACAGTTAAAGTGTTGCCAGCAAAAAAATAACAAATTCTACCAAAATATGGGTCAAAATATGGAATGGTTACTAACGAAATTAGATGAGAAGTTGAATCAACAAGCTTTAATAATAACCACCAATGTCACCAGTAATGTAATGCAAGCACTAGATGAAAAAATGAAAACACTTTTAGAAGAAAACAATACCTTAAAAACAAGAATAACACAGCTAGAACACAAGATAGAATCTATGGAAAAAGACAAGAGAAAAAACAATCTAGTATTTTTCGGTATAGAAGAGAAAGAGAAAACAGAATATGAATTAGTAGACTATTTAAAAGATATAATAGTAGAGATGGGCGTACACCTAGAAAGTCATGAGATAGCTAAAATCTATAGAATTGGACAGCCTTCAAACAAAAATCGACCAATTGTAGCCTCTTTTACAACAACATGGAAGAAACACCTAATTCAAAGGAGTAAATCCAACCTCCCCCAGGGTATCTATCTCAAAGAAGACTATCCTAAAGAGGTTTTGGAAACTCGCAAAAAACTTCTACCCTTATTGGAAGAAGAAAGGAAGAAGGGAAACTTGGCATATCTGAAATACAACAAGCTAGTAGTAAAAAATCCAAAAGATTCAAATCGAGAGAAGAGGAAAAGAGATAAGACGGAATCACCAGAAGCACCACCAACGAACATCAAGAAGAAACAGATTAATGACAAACGTGGCCCATCTACTATGTAGTACGAGGAAGAACATCATCGCTGTCAGAGCCAAAAACAACAAAAAACTAAAAAAATCCTCCTGCAACTGGAACCCGAATAAGAAAAATCTACCAACACAGTCAAATGGAATAACAGAAATCAGCACCCCAAGCCGGTTGGTCACCGTGGGGGAAGATGACCACAACCCTCCACTAAATAAAACCACTAAACACAACAATAGAAAATCCAAAAATAAGAACAATGAACCAGAAAAATTACTAAATTTGAAAATATGCACCTACAACGTAAGATCACTATCATCAACAGTAAGAATGCTAGAATTAAATATTGCAATAGAAAAAATCAATTGGGACATTATAGGGCTCGCAGAAATTAAAAGAAAAGGATGTAATATAGAAGAACATAAAGAATATATATTCTGTTACATAGGTGAGGCAGAGGGGCTTCATGGTGTAGGCTTCCTAATAAAGAAAACCTTGAAGACCAACATTGTAAGCTTTGTAGGTATATCAGAGAGAGTAGGCTTGCTAAAGATGAGCTTCAAAGATGTGCCACTGTCGATTATCCAAGTTTACGCCCCTACAGAGAGTTCTAGTGAGGAGGAAATAGAAAATCGACAAAGAAAAAGATGGCAGGATGATATCAAACATAGCAGGAGATGAATGGATGAAAGTTGCCAATAACCGCGAGGAATGGTGCAAGTTGGAGGAGGCTTTTACCCAAGAGGGACTACACACCAACAACAAGTAAATTGTACTAATTTCTTTTACTTTCATTTTCTAAAATTTTTTTGTAAAATGTGTAGACAAATAAAGCTTTATTATTATTATTATTATTATATCTCCAAACAAGCATTATAGTTTTCTTGTTTGCCAAATTATAAGTTTGTGTAAGCAATAAAAAGGTTCTTACATCTTGTTTAAGAAATAAAGTGCTTAATATGAGGTGCGGCAATCGTTGCTTTAAAATTATATTTAATTTATATAGTCGGTAGATATTAACGTTTAAAATACATCTAAAATATATAATGAAATAAAATTATTTCAAGCTTTTAAGCTTAATGCTACAAAAGTAAATGGGACGTATCAAAGCAATTTTCCATATCGTTTAAAATAATTAACTTTCTTGTTCTGATTAACTACTCAAACGACAAAGTGGTATTGTTTTTTTTATTCGAGTGACTGCACACTTGACCACGGCACGTCGTACGTGTGATGTGATACATACTCGTATACTTACATGTCTCTGCACACATGCTAGTTTTTTATTACGCCAGTTTCCGCGGCGTAGCGTGAGCAAACCGAGATAAAACAGAAATGATTGCCGCTCTGTCGGTATATTGTTTTAAGTGTTTTGTTCCATTGCAGCCTTTCTGTACTTTTTATTCACGTATAACAAACACCGATCGATTCAACATGAATGTTCGACTCAGTAAGTTGCTTAATTAATATCAAAGTGGAGTTACACGAACTACTTTAATGTTTATTTAAAATATTCTCGTGATATTAGAAATGCTTATTTTTTGTATGTAAGGATAATTTATTCTGTTCCTTTAAGTTGTTATGTCAGGTTTTTAAAACTCTAATAAGATAATGTTACCGTTAAAATAAAAACTTATATTTTTATCAGTTTTTCTACTTAATTTGTGCATATTTAAAATTCGTCAAATTGTAACATTGACGATTTTACTATTAAAAAAAAAGGTTAAGTCTCGTTTTTATGTACGACTAGCATTGCCCGCGGCTCCGCCCCCGTTCAGATGACCAAAAACTAAATTCTTAGGTTTTACATATAAGTTTACTCTTACATTGCAGTTTTTGTATTTTTTCTCAGAAATAAGATATTTGCCCGCGGTAAAAAGTATCCTATATATTGATCCGGATAACCAGCTATCACCATACCAAATTTCATCAAAATCCCTCCAGTGGTTTTTCTGTGATGCGGTAACAAACAGACAGACAGACAGACAAACATTCTAAAAACTATAGATTCGCCTCTGTATCGATAATAATGTTTATTTGAATAAGATTTTCCAAAAAATATTTAATGTACCTACAGATTCGGCTTAGTTACAATTTTATTATATGTATAGATTTACATATTTTTTAACATTATTTTATAATAACACAAAATGCCAAATAAATACAAACAATACGATTTATGTTAGCGGAAAATATCGAGGGCTGGGCGAGCGCGTATCGTTTGCAGAGGAATATAATAGTTTACAGCTCGGTGGGATCCGTTTGGGTCTATCAATTGAAACATGCTCTCATGCCGATGACGTCGTCTTTGGCGTGCGGCGTCGCGACAATAAACAATACAAACAACCCGGCCCTGCGTTTGACACCAGCCCGTTCGAAGTGGATTAGAGCGCTCTACAGGGAGTTCGGCAGCATTTAGGGAGCGTAATAGCCTTCCGCCGTGACCTGTTTTAGTTGCGACAAATAGAGATTTACTGGATAGCCTCCCGGGGATTTTCAAAGGGAACTCGTTCTTCCTAATAAAATTGAATGGTGTTTACTTTGCGGTTACTTTATACGAAAACCGTTCTCTTTTCTTCGAGTGTAATTCAATTTATAACTTTTTATAAATTCGAATTCGCATTGTCAGTCGATTCGCACTCATTCAACAAAGTATCCAACAAAGTTTCTAACAATTTAATTTCCCTTGAAATATGTACGAAAAATTTTTCAGCATAAAAAGTGTGAGTGAAAGCTTATCATGAACATTAATAAAAAGGACGAAATTAAAATATGTCAATTTGAGAAAAGTTTTCATAGAACATTTTAAACTTTTACTGAGTTTTTCACTGTTAGTTATAAATATACAAAATATTTGGAACTGCTTTGTTCCTACATAACGTTTGTATAAGCACGTTAACCCTTAATTTTAGGGAGAGAGGCTCATTCAAGACATTTCGCCGCTTAATAATTTTACATTTGTATACAAAGACGGAGTTATCTCACGTGTGCCACACACTGATATGAGCCTAACCAGTTCCAACTCCGCATTTCATTGTAATATTTTCATTATACATATACATATATGTCTCAAACCAGAATTATAATTGGACCGGAATACGTACACTACTCTAATAGGTAACATAAACAATAATAAGACTTTAATGGATAACATATAACTTATATTTTGATATCGTTACTGTTGTAGTTGTGATAAACAAACTTACATGGTTGTTTATGTTTCAATTGAGTTTCACTTTGTTTATTTGCTTGAATCACTTTGATCCTGGAAATAGTACGATACGTATGGTAATCTTAGAGTAAATCCGAATAAATAACGAAAGACGCTAAAGAAAGCTCGCTCGACTTTGGAAAGGGTTTTCGTTTATTGTTTTTTTTGCCGAAGTTATCTAAATATTGGACAGTAAACATTTAATATACGTGCCTATGAATTTAGTGGGTGTTAATGTCAATCGGACAGACTTCGATACGGGCTTTAGTAGTGAAACCCCCTCCCGGAAATTAAAAAATATCGACTGAAATGAAGATTGGGATATAAATCCCATCCTGGCAGAAGGCCAAAGTAACGTAAAAGTCAAGAAAAGCGTTTCAGGCACTTCATTTAGTCCAAAAAAATGTTCTCACAAAAGTTGTACTAAATGTTAAAAACATACACTTAAATCGCTTAAATTCTAACTTTTAGATACATTATTATGGACATATTGTATTATTTTCACAGATCGTTATCAATATTAATTTCTTTTTTTCTAACACCATAATTCAGCTTCAAATTCAAAATATTTTATCCAGCATTTAAATATTACAATTTTTACTAAGCTTTATCACTCAACTATATTTCATAAAAAAAATTAAATATAAATAAAGCTTAAAATAGTATTGGAGTTTTCAAGTAACATATTTTTACAATTCAGTTGAAAAATTATAATAAAATGACATCTTTGTAGAAAAGTAAAGACCTTTCCATACAATTAATGGCGCTGCCGTGTCCAACCTTTGTACTCGTCAGATTCTTAATTCGTAATTAAAAAGTTAAATTGTGCGGTTAATGGCGGGTATTGTGGTAGCCAACGCTGACATTATTCACTTTAAAATTTACTTTAAAATATAAAAATTTAAGGTATGACTGGTTATACAATAAGTAAATAGCTTATCATTCTGCTCGAGTTTCCCAAGTTCAAAAGGCAAACCCTATGTCTCCTTAATCCCGTAATCTGCACTTTATTTAGTATACACTGCGAAGAATTATAATTAAATTAATTTGTAGTCATTATAGAATGGAATCCAGGGATTTAAACGATAGGTATTTATTTGGTGATGTGGTACAATATCTTCATAATTAAATATTAAGTAAAATAATAATTAAATATTTTATCTTTAATTTAATTCTCTTAAGTATAAATGGACAAGTACAAACTATATTTTTTGAGTTTTTAAAATGTTATATAAAAAGTGTCACGGTATTTGTGGTCGCACTTCTCCGAAACGGCTCTACCGATTTTAATGATTTTTTTGTCTACTTCGTAGGTAGCCCCCCACCCCTCATTTTTTAATTGCGATTTTAGTATTTTTGTATGAACAATATTATATAAATACATCTCGACGAACCCGAGCGAAGCAAGGGTGAGTCGCTGTATAACGTAAAGCCAAAGAGTTTTTTGTAGATTGAACCGCGGGTGCAGCCGCGAGATGTGCAAGTAATATAAATATAAATAAATAAATATGTTGGGACATTAGCACACAACACCATCTAGTTTCATGGTAAGCTACGAGACCTGTGTTATGGATACCAGATAGTTGATACCATACACATATATAACCTTAAATACATACATATTATAAATATAAACACCCATGACTAGAGTACAAACATTCGTGCTCATCACACAAATGAATGCCCCCCGCAGGACTCGAACTCGCGACCACTGGCACAGCAAGTAGTGTCGCTACAAACTGAGTCAAATGTGTCGTCAAAATAAATAAAAAAAAATATATAAAAAGAAAAAAAAATAGACATTTCTTAAAAAATCTATTCAAAGTCATTTGCAATCAATAATATATTTTTAGAATCCTATCCACGTGATCACAGCAAATCCTAAACAATGCTTAGAAATTCAATCACTATCGTGAAGCGTGACAAAGTAAAAAAAGTCCCTCAATTAATTACATTCATTGCGGCGCAAACTTTGCTCGTTAACCAACAATTCCCTTAAATTCCCATTCAATTAAGTGTTGAATCCCTTTGCCCAAGTTTTATGAAGAGCCAGTGGCCTGTCACTTGCATGCTTAAAATGATAAAAATTGAATTATAACAAGTACCTAAATATCCTATTAATAATTACCTAAGTGCTAAATGACGTTTTAAAATTAATAATGCGTCATAAAAACAAAAACACATACATACAGACGAACATAGAACGCCTTCCTTTTTGCAAGTCGGCTAAATACATAATATATAGTAAAATTAGATTGTAAATTGTTCGAATTATTGATTATAATAAGTTAATGTAAAATAAAATTGTAACTAAGCCGAAACTGTACATTAATTTTTTCAACCGACTTCAAAAAGGAGGAGGTTCTCAATTCGACTGTATGTTTTTTTTTTTTTTTATGTTTGTTACCTCAGAACTCCGTCATTTATTAACCGATTTGGACAATTTTTGTTTTGTTTGAAAGGGTATACTTCCAGATTGGTCCCATTTAAATTTCAAAAAAAAATACCACCCCTAAGGGTGGAAAAACAACTAATGATGAATTTAACCTACTTCTAATTGTCATATTGACTTGAAACTTTGCAAGTATTTCTATTTCCGTTGATAGTACAGTGGTTCGGTGTTGTTGACCTGATCTGATGGCAAGGCCAGAAGGTGGATAGGTGGAACTCTTCAACGGCTAATAGTAGATACTTTGAGTTTGGGCTTATTTTGTTTGATTTGACAAGCCTAACACGTTAGAATCCTTACTTTGCTACTACTGTCTACACTAAAAAGGGAAAAATAAAAACTTTTTAACAAAAAATAAAAACCGACTTCAAACAAAAGCACTAATAAAAACTTTTTAACAAAAAATAAAAACCGACTTCAAACAAAAGCACTAAAAAGTAAAAAAAAATTGATTGGTAGTTTTCATTTACTATACATACCTAATCAAATATTTTCGAAGTTGGTGTGCTTTGCTTTGTATGGGCTGGCACCGATTACGAAAATATTTGATTAGGTATGTATTTAATAGGTAGGCTTTAATTACTTAGCCAAAGCACACCGACTTCGAAAATATTTGATTAGGTATGTATAGTAAATGAAAACTACCAATCAATTATTTTTTACTTTTTAGTGCTTTTGGTTGAAGTCGGTTTTTATTTTTTGTTAAAAAGTTTTTATTAGTGCTTTTGTTTGAAGTCGGTTTTTATTTTTTGTTAAAAAGTTTTTTTAAATCATAAGATTTAATAATAAAACAAACATTATTATCGATACAGAGGCGAATCTATAGTTTTTAGAATGTTTGTCTATCTGTCTGTCTGTTACCGCATCACAGAAAAACCACTGAAGGGATTTTGATGAAATTTGGTATGGCGATAGCTGGTTATCCGGGTCAACATATAGGGTACCTTTTACCGCGGTAAAATATCTCATTTCTGAGAAAACATACAAAAACTGCATTGTAAGAGTATACTAATATGTAAAACCTAAGAATTCGGTTTTAGGTCATCTAAACGCGGGCGGAGCCGCGGGCAATGCTAGTTATATTATATTTCCTTTATAAATAGAAGTAACGTTAAAGTTCATCGTTCCCAATTAGCAATATTCAACCAAAAGCTTTGCAAGTACGATTCTAGTTAGGTTTAATACAGATCACAGATGACACAATACTGCACAAGTATCCGGTAGCCTGGATTAATATACTTGATAATTTATGTGGAATTCGACGATGGATTGATATAAATGAAGAGTAACTGAGTGTTTCCCAAATATTGGAGCGCAATTTATCTGTAAACATCGGATATATTTTATAATAGGTAATTGATTTTTCAGAGGTCATGAGCTAAACCCTTGTCTAAGTAAAAAATAGCATAATTCGTACAAAAAAGAAAAAAGAAAAGGCTTTCAGACCCATCGTTTAAGTCAAAATGGTATAAAGAATTTTACGTTAATTAATAAATAAACTCAATTAAAACGTTAAAAAAAACTTTTATAATAATAATTCATAATGTAGATATAGGATACATTTGTACGAGGTTTCGTCTAGACGGCCACAATAGCTCTTTTAAAGAACCTAAACAAAGGACACAATGCCAATCGTAATGTCTATTATATGCTGCAATGTAAATGAAAAAACGTTTTTAATCAAAGGTAATAATGATCTTACTGCGAACGTAAACATTTTAAATC